ACAACAGCTGGCATGAGTCTCAACTGAGCTGAAAAGCAGGCAGGAACCCACCTACCGTTCCCACCGCCATGACGCTGGAAGAGAAGTACTCAAAATTGCTCTGCTCCGTTGTCCATTTTTCTATAGGCACTGAAGGTATATTCTTACGGCCGCGACCCACGTCTCGTTCGCTATAGGGAGTTCTTTTGTCGAATTAGGTTCCCAGAGATGTTTCACACAAGGGCCTATTGTGGAACTCAAGGGTGGGATTAGGGGCAAGGCCATAAAGTGGGGGTCTGAAGGGTTAGCTTTGAGCTCAAGCTGGAACAGCCTAGGTAGAGCCACTTTCAAGCCCCCCAAGAGGAGTGTGCGACTTAGCAACCAGACATGGGGGTTACTAAGGGAAAGCAACATTCTCCGCCTTCTTTCAGTTGCATTTGTCTTCAGTGGGCATCATTTTTTTTTAAAAAAAAAATTCAGATACATATTCAGGAAAGAAAACTGGCATGGGTGAATGGATAAATGATGGTCAGAAAGGAGGAAGGGAAAGATACACAGATAGAAAAATGAAGGAAGGAGAAAGAAAGAGAGAGAGAGAAAGAAAGAAAGAAAGAAAGAGAGAGAGAGAGAGAGAGAGAGAAAGAAATAAGAAGAAGAGAAAAAGAAGGATGGAAAGGAAAAGGAAGAAAGAAAAAGAAGAAAGGAAAGAAAGAAAAACAAAGAAAGAAAAGAAAGAAAAACAAAGAAAGAAAAAGAAGGATGAAAAGAAAGAAAGAAAAAGGAAGGAAAGAAGGAAAGAAGGAAAGAAAGAAAAAAGGAAGGAAGGAAAGAAAGAAAAAAGGAAGGAAGGAAAGAAGGAAAGAAAGAAAAAAGGAAGGAAGGAAGGAAGGAAGGAAGGAAAGAAAGAAAGAAAGAAAGAAAGAAAGAAAGAAAGAAAGAAAGAAAGAAAGAAAGAAAGAAAGAAAGAAAGAAAGAAAGGCTCTTTTAGCAGAACACCCATTACAGGTAGTCCTTTGACTTACGGCCACAATTTCTGTTGCTAAGCAAGACAGTTATAAAGTGAGTTTTGCTGTATTTTATTACCTTTCTTGACACAGTTGTTAAGTGAATCACTGTAATTGTTAAATCAGTAACATGGTTGTTAACGGAGTCTGGCTTCCCCATTGTCAGAAAGTCATAAAAGGGGTTCACATGACCCCAGGACGCTGCCACTGTCATGAGTACATGCCAATTGTCAAGTGTCTGAATTGTGACCAGTGGTGGGATTCAATTTTTTTTTTACTACTGGTTCTGAGGGCGTAGCATGGCTTGGTGGGCGTGGCAGGGGAAGGATACTGCAAAATCTCCATTTCCTCCCCCCCCCACACTAACCTGCTTTCCAGCTCCGTTCTCCTGTGCAGGGCCACCAAAGAAGACCCAGCCGATCAGCTGGGACTCAATGGGAGGCAGAGAAGAGATGGGGTTGGCGGGGCCAGTCAGAGGCGGTGTGTGCCAGTTCTCTGAACTGCTCAAAATTTCCGCTACCGGTTCTCCAGAACCAGTCAGAACCAGCTGAAAACGCACGTCTGCATGTGACCACGAGGATGCTGCCAATGTCGTTAGTGTGAAAAATGGTCATAAGTCCCCTTTTTCATTCCTGTTGTAACTTGGGTCACGAAATGATTCGTTACAGCAAAGAAATAGGTCGGGCATGAGAGGTTATGAGCCATGGGATCATTTCTGGCCCTATTTGGGATTATTCCATTGATGACTTAAGGAAGAGGTGAATAACTTGGAACTGGAGTTCTTCCCCCACTTTCCCCCCTCCCCAAGTTAAAGAGTTCCAACAAAACAAGAATTAAAATGATGAAAAGGTTGGAGATAACAAAGGGACTCTTCTTACTTATTTGACTGTGTTGCCTTTGTGCCATGTCCTGGGTCATCACATTGGGCTCCCGGACAAGTCCAAGAGCTCATAAGATTAAACTTCTGGTCCCCGGTGACGGACCCAGATTGGATCCTGCAGGATAGATCCCATTTTTCTCTATCTCTTCGTTTTGTTTTTTTTTAAATTGGCTGAGTTAAAAGCAACGAAGGCATTTTACACAGCAGATAAAAACAAATCCGAATCAAAAGTGATTAAAAATGTTGATCTGCAATTTATTTTGAGCAACACCGTCTTGATTCTGGCGGCGCTCCAGGGATGTGAAAGTGGGCTCAAAATATCTACGCGGATCACCGTGTCCTATTAAAAGGAAGTCGTATTTCCTTCAATTCGGTGGTTTTCTTTCTAGGACGTTTTCTCCTAAACTAAACGAACGTGAGTTATTTCAGAAAGCGAATGTTGTTCAGAGAATTTAACGTCATGAATCCAGAAACATCCAAGGGTCTTAATTTAACCTGTCAGCATGAAATATATTTTGCTCACTCAACCCAATTAAACTTGATTAAAATTAGAAGTATAAAATCAGGGTGGAAATATAAATGGGAAGGAGAGGAATAATAGATCGCCGAACGTGGATTTAACCGCAACTTCTCTCAAGGGTTTGCTGATGGAAATTAGGAACAACAGAATAACGGAGTTGGAAGAGACCGGCACACTTTACACGTGATTCAGAGGAAATGTTTTGGACTTCTCGCAATCTTCACACAATCATTAGGGGCCTTAACAAAATAACAGAGCTGGGAAGGGTCCTTGGCCCCGTCTACCCTTCCCCTCCCTCAAAGTCCCCACACGGCCTGTTTTGGATGCGCAGCGGCTCGGGAAGAGTGAAAAACAGGCTGGGAATTTGGGTTGCCCGGAAATGGGCCTGTTTCCGGCTTCCAGAGAGCCTCTGGAGCCCAGGGAGGCCATTTTTGCCGTCCCAGAGGCTCAAGGAAAGCCTCCAGAGCCCGGGGAGGACAAAAACGTGCGCACACACCCCGCCATGGTGCAGGAGGCCGACGAGGCCACGCCCATCCAGCAACCAGGCAGAGAACCCGTTGCTGAAATTTTTGAAGGCCCGGAGCTCCCACAACTTCTGAAGGCAATGTGGAAATGGCCCAACGGTGTTTTTCTTTTCTTTTTCCAAGAGGCAACCGGACTTTCTGGTTTTTTTTCTTTGAAGGAATTTCGTTTCTCGTCCAAGAAGCTTCTTCAGCTCTGAATGGATGGCGAGGAATGGAAGGATCAATCCAATCAGAGATGAACCGTCCACCATCCGGTCAGAGCTGAAGAAGCTTCTTGGATGAGAAGGGAAAAGTCTTTGTGTTGACCTGGGGTGTGGCACAAAAGCAACAAAGTCACCTATGTAGGTAAAGTCCCTTTGATTCCTCCAAGTTGCCCCCCAGTGTCCAGTTTTCATCGTCTGGAGAAAAATCTCTTTTTGTTGTAGTTCTATAGGTGCTGACTGCATTTAAACATATCACAGGTAGTCCTCGAATTACAAGAGTTCATTTAGTGACTTTTCATGGCCTATAGGTGGAGCTCTTGCCTCACAATCAGGACACACTGAGAATATATCTGCTGAATATAACTCCACACTGGCGACAGGAAGGTCATCCGGCCAGTAAACACTCTGCCAGCTCCATACAGTATCCCAGACTCCACCCCGCAAGGGATTATGGGGTCATTAAAAGATGATGATGAGTTAGTGACTTTTCAAACACAACAGTTCGTTTAGTGACTTTTCAAACTTAAAACAGCACTGAAAAAAGTGACTTATGAGCATTTTTCACACTTACGACCATTGCAGCCTTCCCAGAGTCAGGTGATTTACATTCAAATGCTTGACAACTGACTCATATTTATGACGGTCGCAGTGTCCCGGAGTCATGTGATCCCCTTTTGCGACCTTCTGACAAGCAAAGTCAACGGGGAAGCCAGATTAACTTAACAACTATGTGGCTCACTTAACAACGGCAGAGACTCCATCAACAAACGTGGCAGGAAAAGTCATAAAATGGGGCAAAACTCACCTAAAAAATGTCTCACTTAGCAACATACACGTTGGGCTCGGTTATGGTCATCAGTCGAGCACTGATATTCAGATTGTCTTATTTTTAATGTTTTGTGTGGTAGGTTGTTACTCAGTGAGTTTGCTCATCTGAAAAGGGTAGCGACACAGTTTCTTTTGTGTGATGTTGAGCTCTTATCGTGTCAGAGGAATACTAGATTAAGATTAAGACTGCTTTTGTAATACTCTTGGATTTAAAAGTAAGCCACGGTTTTCCGTCTTGGTGTCTACAGCCGGAAAAAAAGTTAATCTGGTCTTATTCTCTTGTTCTATGACTTTTAATTCCATGAAAGATACACACTGCGTAGTCTGGTTGTGTTTTGGATCATGATGAAAGTACCAGATTCCATATTTGGGGTTGCATCAGTGACATTACTATATTGTTTCTAGCCGTTGCATCACCGTCTCTGGTTTCACCGTGTTTACATTTGTAAAATGTCTACACAAGTTCAGGCAGGGTAACACAACCATCACCATCACACACTGCTGGCCCAAGAAACAGCGGAAAACACGGGCCCAGAAATCTCCATTTTACTCAGCCAAGGAAAATTGTGCTAGAGAGAGATTGCTTTGTCTGTTTCTTATTTTTTTAAGATAATGCAATTTTTATCTGCAGCTTGACAAGATGTAGAAAATAATTACCAATGAAAAGGTTATTCATAATTTTTAAATGAGTTAATTAGTAAGCCCAGCCAGAGCCGGCTCTCATTACATTAATAAATAATTGATTATACTTAAAATTGCACACAGTTTTTCATTAAATCTAATTAACTATCTGCATTTTCCCTCCCTACCTGCTGATTAGAACGGTTAGCATGATAGCAGAGTCTTCTCATTAAATATGTTTATGTTGAACGGAAACAATTAATTTTGATTTTAACTAATTCTTTGAGAAATTTGTGATTATAATTCATGACTGTCGTTGAGGAAAAAAAACGGAATAGTTGAGTTTCTGTTTGCTTATTGGGATCTAATGGAAAATAGAAGACAACCACTAAACTATAAAATATATTTGAAT